AATCTCAAAAACTATGCATTGCACTTTGTGCAGATTTTGCCTACATCGTCTAAAATTTGCATGTAAATTTATTTTTACTTGCTTTGATGGGACCCCGACGGGTCTTTAATAAAATAATTGAATTGAATTGAATTGAATTGAGGAGACTAGTGAGCGACAGGATGGTGTCGGCACAGTGCGGAAGGAACCGACGGACTACTAGTTCAGAAACTATGAATTGCGTTTTGTACAGATATTGCCTACATCGTCTAAGATTCGCATGTTAATTTATTTTTGCTTGCCTTGATGGGACCCCGACGGGTCTTTAATAAAAGTTATTATAATTATAATAATTATTATTAAATTCATCACAGCCAGAAATCGCTGCATTTGAGGTTTGGAGGAAGGAGGAGGGAAATTACGGATGGCCGCAACCTTCAAGGGAAGAGGATGGATGCCGTGAGAGTTGACCAGATGACCGAGAAATTCTGTGGAGGGAACACAGAAGACGCACCTGGACTGGTTAAAAACAAAGCCAAACTGTTGAAGGCGGTCAAGCACCGTAGCAAGATGCTCCATTTGTTCTTCGGCGGTGGAACTAGCTACCAGAAGGTCGTCGGTGTAGGCGTAGACAAATGATAGGCCGCGAAGCAGTCTGTCTACCAACATTTAAAAGGCCTGAGAGGCGTTGCGGAGTCCAAACGGCATGCGCAGAAACTCAAAGAGGCCAAAGGGAGTGGTGACGGCCGTCTTCGAAACGTCCTCTGGGGCCAAGGGAATCTGGTGGAAAGCACGGACCAGATTGATCTTCGAAAATACAGACCTGCCGAATCGGGCACCAGCAAAATCCTGAAGATGTTGGACAGGGTAGTGGTCGGGGACAGTAACGTTGTTCAAGGTCTTGTAATCACCGCAGGGGTGCTAGCCATCAGTGGCGGCCTTTAGGACCATGTGGAGGGGTGAAACCCATGGGCTTTCAGACTGACATATGATGCCCAACTGAAGCATGTGTTCCAAATCGGCCATGGCGACAGCACGACGTGCAGGCGCGAGACGGCGGGACCTCGAAACCACAAGAGAGCCAATGGTATGTATGTGGTGAAAAACGTCGCGTGGTGGAATAGAAGCGTTGAATGTGGGACGCATGAGGCCGGGGTATTTGGCGAGGAGTTGCCGAAAAAGATTCTGGAGTCTAGGGTCCGGACGGCGAGTTAATGAGAAGCGTCGGAAGAAGAGATGTGCCTGACAGTGACGTTGGTTGACTTGTCGCTTAGACGTGACTGACAGCAGTCAACCAGTAGATCGAAAGTGGCGAGGAAATCTGCACCGAGAAAAGCACAGAGAATGTCAGCAACGACGAAGACCCAAGGGAAAAGACGCCGGAGACCGATGACCAGAGAGATGGAGCAGGTGTCGAAGGTGGTAATCGACGATGTGTTGACGACCTGTAAGAAAAGGCAGAGATTGGGGCACCGACGATCAGCTGGTGTGGGTGGAATGACACTTAGCTGGGCATCAGTGTCAACCAACAAACGTCTGCACTCCTGGTGTCGCGGACGCAAAATGTGCGACCAGGTTTAGAGCTGTCGGGAGGACTGGCTGCACTGACCTTCGGGCTGACCTGCTCTACCCATTTGTTCTGCTTTGAATGGAAGGAGCAGGGAGAGATGCAGCGACAGGCTTTAACATCAAAGGTAGTGTTATACCAGCAGATGGCGGCTGTGTTGGAGGGGGCTGGATGTGCAGACTGGACATGCGGGGTGGACGGCTTCGGATGGCTCCAAGATAAGGGAGAAACTGTCTGCTACTGGAGAGAAGCTATATCATCGGTCAGCTTGGTAAGCCCGATCTCCAACTGCGAAAGTGGAGACCCAGGAGGAGCTGAGGGAGTTGAGAGTGCTGAAATAGATGTCTTGGAAAAAATGTGTATCTCCATAAACCGATCGGCCCTCTGAGTAATTTGCGTGACTGAGAGAATGCCGAAGGTGTGTACAAAAATATGCTGCATTTCCGTTGGAAAATTGTACATGATAAACGCCTGACTTTATTGTAGTGTAAGAAGAAGGACGATTTCTGTTCGCAAGGGAGTCAGCAGTTGTCTTGCTCTCCAAGTAAGTTGTTGTTCTAGTCTGTGTCCGCCTTCAAGGTGCTGGGACACAGCTCTTGTGTGCGCCTTTTGTTGCCATCGCGCTCGCCAGTCAATCAGAGGGGGGACATCGTTGATTGGCCTGGAGCAATCGCGAGGCTAGTGACAAGTCTGGCGCGTCCCGGCAGAGTATCGACAAGGAGTGTGCGGCAGACAGGAAGGCAGCGTCACAAAGGCGGAGGTCAAGGAAACGCGAACTGCCACAGCTACGATGTTTTGAAGCACTGATAGACTGCTTATGACTTTGATATATCCCTTCACCGACTACTTTTGCTGTTGAGTGTCAGGACCAAAGTCCAGTCGACGGCAAACCTGTCGACAGTGCCGTGGAAGCTTTTGCTGATCGTACGCCGGCGTAGAACTAAGAGCCAAGACACCAAAAAACGAGGGTCCTACAAATTGTCATAGAAATTCTGAAACGACGAATTGTGGAGTTTGATTTATTATTTTTAAGGAAATATTGCCCAACAGTTTTTCTCCCATCGATTGTGATTATGAGATATTAGTTTAACTGTGTTAAATTTGAACCCGAAGGTCATTTGTTTATTTTGTTGCCGTTTCGGATGAGGAATATAATGTGCATGTGGACTTTGGATTGCTTACCTAGGAGGCTAGACAGAGACGCAGTTGAAAGATCCCAGAAGATCGATGATGAACTCAGGGCCGATGCCGAAAAGATGAAGAGTAATATTAAGCTTCTTCTCCTCGGTATATTTAACGAACACCAAGGTCTCTAAAAAAAACAATTGCTAGGTGCCGGGGAATCGGGCAAAAGTACGATAACAAAACAAATAAAGTAACATGATACTGAATCACTTCATTTAGAGAATTATCCGTTGTGGTGGATATAACGACGAAGAACGTAAAAGTTACAGATATATCGTTTATTGCAATACATTGCAGTCCATGCTAGCAATCTTAAGAGGAATGGGTCGGTTAAGGATAGATTTCAACGACCCAAAACTTACGGTAAGAAATTTTTAATATTGGGACGGCTGACTGATGGCTTTATGTTGGTATAAATCACATAATAGTACTACGCACTGTATGAAACCTATAGCACCTAGGTGCTATGTTTATTCACGAATCAGATACCCGAACTTTGCCCTCAGTTGCTCGTCTGTACCTAAACATACGAAGAGACTACAGTAGTCCGAACTTGTGAGAGCTGAGTTTGGCTCTAACGTTTCCTCGAGGAAAAGACATTTTCAGAATACTCTTAACATCTGGCAGTTTTTAATGTTCCTTGTAGTATTTTGTACCACTAGGTCCCACACAATTTCATCTTTGCTTAAGTCACAAAGGTATAGAGGTCTTAAGAAATTGAATAATGAATTTCTATGTAGATGCACTGTTGTTAGCCAATGGTTCCGAAGTAAATCTTATCTTCATAAGTAAGCAATTAATCTACTCTGGGTGACCTTCTTCCGGCAGATATTTTGCAAGAGTGTGAAACTATATTGGCTTAGCAAGTTACACGAATTTTGCTCGACGTGTCACTGATGAATTTTTCTATACCTCAGTTTTCCGCCTTTTGATAAGTTGTTAAACATAATTTGATTTACTACTTCTTTAGAGTATAACATGATGTCTCACGAACAAATTATGAAATTCATGATTGACCCAAAATGCCTGTCAAAATGTTACGTTGTACTGACGATTATTGCAAGTTACGGGAAAGATACCACATATTTTATGATGACCTCGCTGTGGCAGATCAGTAAAACACAAAATCATACATTTTTATGCGGGAAGAGGCGCACAGAGAATACTGACAACGCACACTTGCGA